GCAATAAGACAAAAGAAAGACATACAAGGAATCCAAACAGGAATGGAAGAAGTCAAACTATCACTATTTGCAGATGATATGATAATATACATAGAGAACCCCAAAAACTCCACAGAAAAACTAATTCAACTCATCAATCAGTTCAGTAAAGTGGCAGGATACAAAATCAACATGCAAAAGTCAGTAGCCTTCCTATACACAAACGATAAATCTGAAGAAGAAGAAATCAAAAAAACCATCCCTTTTATTATCAAAACAAAAAAAAAATCAAATTCTTGGGAATAAATCTAACAAAAGAGGTAAAGGACCTATACAAGGAAAACTATAAAACACTGTTAAAAGAAATAGAAGAAGACACAAAGAAATGGAAAGACATCCCCTGCTCATGGATTGGAAGAATAAACATTATTAAAATGGCCATCCCACCAAAAGCAATATACAGATTCAATGCTATTCCAATAAAAATTTCAATGTCATTCTTCAAAGAAATAGAACAATTATTGATGAAATTCATAGGGAATAACCAAAAACCCCAAATAGCTAAAGCTCTCCTGAAAAAAAAAAGAAGGGAATGGAAGCATCACACTCCCAGACTTCAAACTATACTACAAAGCCACAATCATCAAAACTGCATGGTATTGGAACAAGAACAGACATACAGACCAATGGAATCGAATTGAAAATCCAGAAATAAACCCACAGAGTTATGGTCAACTAATCTTTGACAAAGGAGCAAAGACCATGCATTGGAGCAAAGAAAGTTTGTTCAATAAATGGTGCTGGGAAAACTGGGTCGCTACATGCAAAAGAATGAAGCTTGACCATTACCTCACACCATACACAAACATCAACTCAAAATGGATTAAAGAACTAGACATAAGACCTGAAACCATAAAATACATAGAAGGAAATACAGGCAAAACACTTCGTGATATGCTTATCAAAGACATCTTTACAGACACATCACCCAAAGCAGTGATAGTGAAGGCAAAGATAAACAGCTGGGACTACATCAAATTAAAGAGCTTCTGCACAGCAAAAAGAGACAATAACAACAACAAAGAGAAACCCCACCGACTGGGAGAACATTTTTGCACACACTAATGATAAAGGACTGATCACAAAAATCTGCAAAGAGCTGATGAGACTCAACAACAACAAAGAAAATAATCCAGTCAAAAAATGGGCAGAAGAGCTAAAAAAAACTTCTCTGAAGAAGAAATGCAAATGGCCAACAGGCATATGAAAAAATGTTCAACATCACTTGTAATCAGGGAAATGCAAATCAAAACTACCATGAGATACCATCTTACACCAGTGAGAATGGCACATATTAAAAAAACTAGCAACAACAAATGTTGGCGAGGATGTGGAGAAAAAGGAACTCTTCTGCACTGTTGGTGGGAGTGCAAACTGGTCCAACCACTATGGAGAGCTGTGTGGAGATTTCTGGACCTACTAAACATAGAGCTTTCATATGATCCAGCAATTCCACTCCTAGGTATTTACCCAAAGGACACAGAAACATCAATTCCAAAGAGCACCTGCTCCTCTATGTTTATAGCAGCACAGTTTACAATAGCTAAGCTTTGGAAACAATCCAAATGCCCAAAAATAGATGACTGGATCAAGAAGATGTGGTACATATACACCATGGAATATTACTCAGCATTCAAAAAAGATAAACACATGCAATTTGCAGCAACATGGATGGTGCTGGAAGGATTATGCTTAGCGAAATAAGCCAGAAAGAAAAAGAAAAATACCGGATGGTCTCACTCATAGCAGGAATCTAGAAAACTTAAATAAGGGACCAGGAAAATGAATAAGTATAAGAAAATCAAAATCAAAATCAACAAGCAACTATGAACCAGAGACAGTCTATGGGGGTTGGGGGGCAGGGAGGGGAGGGATTGGTGTCAAAGTAAGGGGGTTGGAATTGTATGGGGAATATAAAAATAAAATTTATTAAAAAAAATAAAAATAAAAAATAAAAAAATAATAAATAAGTCACACTTGAAGATGCATATGCCCACAAAAAAAAAAAAAAAAAGAAAGAAAATTTTACATGTGCAACCAAATGGACAGACCTAATACAACTGAACAAAAAGACAACAAACAACCCATTAAAAAAATGGGCAGGGGCCAACCCGGTGGCGCATCGGTTGAGCGCTGGGTTGCGAAGCTGCCCGCGGCCTCTGCAGCGCCTGTTCGATCCCCGGCTGCTCCCCTACCACCGGAGGAGGGTCCCACAGGGCGCACAGACCTCTCCTGCCGCCCGCTGCTCCCCTCAGCAGTGGACTTCGGTCCTTCTGCCTGCTCTGCTCCCTGTTCTGGCTCTGGTGAATTCTCTCACCCTCCCGTGCTTCTGACTGTACCCAGTGCATGTATAAACAAAATAAACAAATAAATAAATAAATAAAACATGCCTCTATTAAAAAAAAAAAAAATCTTAAAAAAAAAAAAAAGGGCAGGGGGCCTCCCCAGTGGCGCAGCAGTTGAGTGCTGGGCTGCGAAGCTGCACGCAGCCTCTACAGTGCTGGTTTGATCCTGGGCCACCTGTGAGTGTCCCACATGGCGCGCAGACCTCTCCTGATGCCCGCTGCTCCCCTCCACAGCGTACTTTGTCATTCTGCATGTTCTGCTCCCCACTCTGGCTCTGGTGAATTCGCTTACCCTCCCGCGCCTCTGACTGTACCCAGTGCTCGCATAAATAAATAAATAAATAAATAAATAAATAAATAAATAAATAAATTTTTAAAAAATGGGCAGGAAAATAGTCACTTTTCCAAAGAAGACATACAGATGACCTACATGCGCATGAAAAATTGCTTATCATCACTATGGTCAGGAAAATACAAATGAAAACCACAATGAGTTACCACTTCACATCTGTGAGAATAGCCCACATCAAGAAGACCAGAAACAAGTACTGGCATGGATGCAGAGAAAAAGGAACCCTTTTACACAGTTTGTGGGAATATAAACTGGTCCAACTACTATGGAAAGACATAAGGAGGCTTATTGAAAGATTAAAAAATGGATCTACCAAATGGTCACCAATTCCACTCCTAGAGATGTATCCCAAGAATATACTAATTTGGAGGGAAATACACTAATAGAAATATACTAATTTGAAGGGAAACTTGCACTCCCATGTTTACTGTCACATTATTTACAATAGTCAAACTATGGAAACAACCTAAAGAGATCCAAAAATGGATGAGTGGATCAAAAATATGTGTTATATATTTGCAATAGAATACTACTCAGCTATCAAAAAGATAAACTCATGCAACATGGACAGACCTGGAAGGGATTATACTAAGCAAAATAAGCCAAAGGGACAAAGATAAACATAATGCTACTTATATGTGGAATATAGACAAACCAAATGAGGCGTCATAGACAAACTTAAAAATTGACCCTTGAAAGCTGACCATAGAACTGAAGCATCCATGGAAGGAAGGGAATGGGGGAGGAGAGAGAGATAAGAACATGGAGGCGATAAACCACAACAGACTATGTTGAAGGACTATAGTGCTTTGGTGGTGGGTATGCTATGGTTATAACACCTGAGGGGGAAAACCTGTACTTCTAAAACACTAACAAGGATGGTACTTCACTTAAAAACAAAATAAATACAATCGCGAATAAATACAAAATGCCTTCAAATTTATAAGGAAAAAAAAATACCTGAATAGAAAAAGTAACAAACTAGAAAGCACAGCAAATTATAGAACAGAATAGTTGAATGGCAAATCAGTAAATGAAAAATATCATCAAATAATTATGTCGCTATAAATTAATACAAGAAAGTATTGCTTGTCCTTATCATACTACCAAACTCCTTGAAGGTTGTAGGAAAGCAAAAACTGATATAAAAATTAAGAAAACGAGTGCACCAGAATTCAATTCTCTCAATAGGTCAGTCATCCCAATTGTGCCCTCATATATTGATGTATTTTTCTTAAGTATCTGCAATTACTTGATTTATACACTCAGAAATACTTAGTTCTCTAAATCATATATTCATACACACGTATACATACATAATATGCATAAACAAATATATCCATACTTATTATACATGTGCATATACACAGCTATACTTATTATAGTTAAAAGGCTATACATGTACACAGTGAAATATATTTTTATAGATATGCACACAGATGTATTAATATTATATATTCTTTTCATATGTACATACATAGAGATCATCATGTTTAGTGGCCTAAAAATTTTTTTGGACTTCTCAACAAAATGGTAAAAGAGAAACCTAGAATTTGATGGGAAAAAAATGAAGAAAAACATTCTCAAGATAAAGAGAAATCCATTAAAAAGTATTAATTTCAAAAGCACTGATAAAAAAGGATGTAAGAATATTGTAAGGGTTGGTTATATCATTTATTTTCTTAAAAATAAAATTTTACTATAAATGAAGGCTTCCTAAACTAAATAAAAGCACTATCCTTAAAAAACATGAATTTTTTGTGTTTGTACTTTTATTAAACAGTTTATTTTTTAAAGGACCTGGAAATTACAACCTAAAACTGTATTGCAATGAGGTCTAGCTATATTTATAAATTTAAGCCCTAATTTAAAAAGTCAAAGCTCATGATTCTAAATATTTTTTTCAAAACATGTTTTATTTCAAAATGCAGTAGTCTTTATTTTTTAATGATTACATTTTAAATAACTATTTGAAGTCAGTTTCCTGCTTTGCAACATCAATTTTTAAAAAGCTGTGGGTCTTAAGTAAAGAAGTATAAATTAATACTAGTTCTCACTGGTGGATATGAATATATAACTTGTTATTTTTTTTATATTTACTAGAAGCATTTATTGCTTGAGGTTATAATTACTTGCAAAGCAAGAAAATGAAGCTAGTTGAATATATAACTTGTTATTTAAACAAAATAACATGTAACAACTTCCTGTAAGAAGTTAGATCCAAAGTTGCAGTATGAATTCTCGATTATACTCTTACAGCATACCTTTATTTTTGCATCAATGCTTTGTTTTTCTTTTCTCCAATGTGCTTCCTGCTTCCTCAGTTTCTCCAGGTCATTCAGCAGGTCAGCACAGCATGTATTTAATTTCTCATTTTCCTCTTCCAGACTTTTTATAACCAGTCTGTTTTGTTCTTCCTTATTTTGTACACACTCCTTAGTGTCCTGTAGAAGAGTACCACAAGGGCCGATAAACAAAACAACAACAAAAAAGGTGAGAACTAATCAGCAAATATAAACTGTGCAGTTTTATCCTCACAGCAGCTTCTTCTATATTTGATGGCCAAGGTCACCTGTATACTTTTATTGGTCTCTTTTCATGCAGGTGGATGGGTCATATTTTTCCACTGGATGACAGCTTTGATGAGTACACATTTGCAAAGAGCCCATTAATTGATCAAGCTGCCTTTGATGCTGTCCCCAGCTATTTTTGAGACCCACACAGACATATCCTCCCAGACCTGGGTTTTATCAATTAATAATGCCAGTCCCATCAGAATCTAATTACAAGAAGCCACATATTCACACTCCTACTTTCTTAGCTCCATTTCCATCATTAACTATTTATCTGAAAGTTATAAAGCTTGGAGTCTTAGCTTTAAAGCATCTTTCTGAGTTTTTACATGTGAGAAAACTATAAGGTACAGCAGGGCCTAAGGCAATTTTTTCTCAATGCTTGTCATTCTCTGTGCCACAAAGGCTGACAAAGCTTAATGTAGGACTTCAAAGTAATACTACTCTGAAACTATACATAAGTCAACATACCTTAACTTCTTTACTTCTATCTTTAAATTTCTTCTGGAAGTCACTGAGTTCTTTCCTTAAGAAAACATTTTCTTCATTTACTGCAATCTTTTGTTTTATAAGGTCATTTATTTCCTGTTTTAGTCCTAATTCTCTCTGTGAAAAAAATTACAATTATTGGTGAGTTGTTATTTATACGGAAAAAATATTTAATTTAAAAAGATTTGCTTTTTTTAAGTTAATAAATAAGATTTTACATTTCAGTTGATAACTGATTCATTACAACATGTATTATCACAATTCTCATTTCCTGTAACATGCACATGGATTTTTAAAGAAACTGTCTATGTATGCTACCTATTAGAATAAAATGGAGAACATATAAAAACTGGACACCAAATATGAAGGCATATCCAGAAAGCAAATTTTGGAAATTCTGGTATATAACAGGAGATATACAAAATTTTATAAAACATTCTAATTAAAGAAAACGCTTATGTAGCTAAAATAATTAGCCTCATTTGCATATCATGTTCATGTGGAAGAAAACCATTCTTAAAGAAACAATTAGTTTTGTGAAAGCATATAAAATTTAAAGAATGAAAGATGGTAAGCTTGTTTTGATACTAAAAATTTTCCTCTGTAAAAGGAATTTTGAGAATATTAAAACTGCTACAATTTTAACTGAATATTCTTGCCTATTCTTGCCTGCCAGAGATAACTAAGTGACACATGATTTTATTCATGATTCATTTCTTAGTTTCCCCCTCTTATCTCTAACTATATTCTCAGAAAATTTACCCATTCTCTGTTGTTTCAGAAAATTTACCCAATTCTAGTGACTTCTGATCTTATCTCTGATTGAAAGACTACACAGTCCATAATTGGCAGAATTCTCTCAATCACCAATTCCAAACCAAGTCACTACACAATACCTACACTTAGATTACCTGCTATCTCAAAATAATACACTAAAACCAAAATCCATATCCTGATACTCTCTTTCCTAAACTTTAGCTTTTGTCAACTCATGCATTTTTTTCAATTAATATTTATTAAGCACCCATTTACTGGCTATACATGCTTTTTGAAAGCTTCTAAGTCATTCTCAAAAGAACCTTCCTCCAAGTCCTTCTGCCTGTCACACATGGAGCAGAGACATCAAAAGATAAACATAATATTTTTTATTAAGTAATATGCTCAGTAGAAACCCCTGACCTTTATGCCATTTCTGACCTATCACTGATGCTCTTCTGATCCCTACATACTAATTTATTTTATACTCCCATATTTACTCCTTTTCAAACCCTCTCCAAAGGACTTCAGAGTAAATTGAAACTTAAGGCCAGGATGAAAAATGGGAGGAGTTTAAGGAATAAAGGAAAAGTAATCTATAGTCTAACATTTTTCAGTTGTAATGCTAATTGCTGCTTTCATTTTAATTCTCAAAAATATTTTAAGTGATGAATACACAGAAAAATAATATATGTGTGTATGGTGTAAAGAAATAGAATAAAAAAGGCAACCTTGTACCCACAACCATCAAACTAACAAATACAACTTCTTCTTTACCATTGTCTTTGAAATGTCTGTAGGATCCTCTAACACCTCCTATGACCTCCAGGAGTAAGCACTACCCTGAAATTTGGTCTTTTCCTTCTCTGGTTTTTCTTTATGTGTGTGTGTGTGTATGTAATAGGGGACATGTATATGTCCCTAATCAATGTATTCTAAAATTCAGCCTATTTTTGAGTTTTGTATAAATTAAATCATAGTACAAAGAATAGGTGTAGTATGATTTTTGCTCCGCATTAGTTATTATTTAGCTCAACATTATTCCCAAATTCACTATATTGATGAATATACCTGAAGATCAACTGTCTTGGCTTAACTGTCTTGGTGTAAAGCATCACTCCATTATATATATATGTGTATGTGTGTGTATACATATATATGTATATTTAACTATAAAATAGTTATCCAACTCTTGAAAATGTATATTGCATCTGCTTCCTATTTTGGGGAAAGGAGTATACAAGCAATGTTGCTATGAACAATCTTTAAGCTTGTCTCATGATACAGATGAACCAGAATGTCTCACAAGCAGTATTTTTCAAACTGTAGAATACAATCTAGTAATGGGTCAGTAAATGAATTACATCTAGTCTTTATTACACATAGTAGGGAAAACTATTATAAAACTTTACTTCATGTATGTACACTGGATTTTAAGAGAAAATGGTATTTTTTCTTAGTGTATGGATCATATCAATAAATATTTGAAAAGAAGTGTTCTAAATTATATATGCTAAAAGATTAAATTGTGCATCATAGGACATCATAGGATATATGTACTTCAAGAATTACCATAGCTCCAAATCTGCACCAATACTTGACTCTCAGACTTGATATTTTAAAAAGCCAGTAGGTGTAAACGGCACTGCAATATAATCTTAACTTTTACTTATTTAAATACTAGAGCATAAGAAAATGTGTCTTCAATCAACAGCATACAAATAGATGTATAAATATGGTTATCCTCAATTCATAGCCACTTTTCTAATCTCATCTAAGTCTTATCCTCCTTTAGGATTCAGTTTCCACCTCTTCTATAAAGGTTTGCTACCACTATGACAATAATTTCTTTCATTTTGAAATTTCTGTATTACCTATATTATTCATTAAATATATAACTACCTAATCTTGCTAATTGTTGATGTACCCATACTCTCTCCCAAACCCAATTAGTAAATGTCTAGGAATGGAGGTTGGCAATGAAAAATAAATTCTATCATGTGAACACTAAGACTGTTTATAAAATATGTACAAGCATGTACTTTGAGAGGAAAAATGACAACACCTGAGCATATTCATGTATTCTGGAGCTTATTTAGAGTCTAGGAAGGATAGAACACTGAATCAAATTATTTAAGTTTTAAAAGGGATTTTCCACTACTGTAAACTAGAAATGATAATATAAATGATACAACAGTAAGCCCTTTATGAGATTCAATAATTTAAATTTTGGCATATGAGTAAATTTAGTGAAACACAAAGACAAATAAAGACTTAATTTCTTTTTTTATAATTTATTTATTTATATATAGTTGACATCATTGTTCATTTTTGTGTAATGTTGCTTTCTCCTCCCAGGTGAAGTCCCTGTAAAATACCCACCACCAAGTCACCCGTGCACCATCACTGTAGTCCCTTTTGTTCTTCCCTCCTCTGGTCTGAGCCCTCTCCTCCCGCTCCCCTGCAGAATGTCTCTGATTTATAGTTGCCTGCTAATTTTTTTTTTTTTATTTATTGAATGCAAACTGGTCCAACCACTATGGAAAGCTGTGTAGAGATTCCTCAAACTACTGAAAATGGAGCTACCATATGGCCCAGCAATTAACTCCTAGAAATCTACCCAAAGAACATAAAAAAAATTCAAAAGGATACCTGCACCCCTATGTTTATTGCAGCACTATTTATAATAGGTAAGCTATGGAAACAACCCAAATGCCCAAAAGTAAATGACTGGATCAAGAAGATGTGATATATATACACAATAGTATACTATTCAACAACCAAAAAAAAAAAAAAAAATACAACTCATGACATTTGCAGCAACATGAGTGAAGCTAGAAGGGATTGTGTTCAGTGAAATAAGCCAGAAGAAAAAAAAAATATCAGACGGTTTCACTTATAGGAGGAATATTGGGAACCAAATAAGGGATCAGAAAAGAAAAGAAAAAATAAAAAACCAAAATTAACAGGCAACTATAAATGAAAGATTTGATTTCCAAGTAAAAAAGCACAATATAGTATGAAATTGGTAACCAAAAATATTCTGATAGTTTGATAAACTTATATTGTATAATCATCAGAGTAATAATCAAAGATGTACTCCAATTTGAAGAAGATTGATAAATTAAACCCTCAATGATTTGTAAATATGAGGCAACTTATTTCCCTGATAAAAATACCCTCAAGGATGTACTTTAAATAATGAAATCAGGGCCTCCCTGGTGGCGCAAGGGGTTAAGCACCTCATTATGAAGCAAACCGCAGCCTCTGCAGCATGAGTTCAATCCCCGGTCAGCCAGGGAGCAACCCACATGGCAAAGCAGACCTCTCCTGTCTCATCCACTGCTCCCCTCAGCAGTATGTTTCAGTCAGTCTGCCTGTTCTGTTCCCCGCTCTGCCTCTGGTGAATCCTCTCACCCGCCCCCATCTCTGGCCTTGTACCCCAGCTCTTGTATGCATAAATGAATAAATGTTTTAAAAAAAATAATGAAATCACAAGTATATACAGTTACAGTACATTTTTAAAATTAGCTTTATGAAACTTTTTCAACAAACTTTTCTGGTTAGAGTAGAGCACATTCTTAATGGTCTGGCTTGAGTTAATATTAAAATAGCAACTAGAACTCAGAGGAACCATAAAGTATAAAGGGTGACAAGAGAAAGTATGTCTGGAACAAATAATTTATTATGGATAAGCTATGAAATTAATAATTCATATCATGGTCAAGAGAATTCTATAGAGTAAGAAGAGAATAACAGTATGAAGCGGGGGGAAGGGGGGAGGGGCAAAAGAATAAGACCTGAAACTATATCAGGCAATACTTGAGCATAGTTAATATATTATTTATATGACCCACTTTCAAATGGACAAGAAACTTTAATAAGAAATACAGAAGTAATAAAACCACAACAACTAAAACAATGGTAAATGGAGAAAGGGAAACAGCTAAGAAAACTAATTAACTGAAAAGCAAAACTTATTTTTAGACTCCCTATATATTATGTCAAGAAATGCAGATAAGCAAACTTAGCTTTAAAAAGGTACATATAGATTGAGTCAACACACAAAAAATACAACATACAAGTAATTCATCTAAAGATGCAATATAAAAGGATGGACAAAGATATAACACATTAGTTCTAAAAACAAAGCTGGGGGAATAGGGAGTTAAGAAAAGAAATTAAGGGGGGCGGAGCAACATGGCGGTGAGGAGACGCTGCGAGTAAGATCTCCCATTAAAAAAAAGTTAATAGGGAGGAAAAGCGGCAGGTCCCAGTGAGAACTGGGACACGGAAGATAAACAGGTGACGCCAGCGAACTGCCCGAAGAAGAAACTGGCCATAAAAGAGGACTAGAAGGG